GGGATTTTTATAAATTAGCAATTTTTTTGTTAAATTTTGGTTGTTTTCAACAGAGTTTTTTTTTAAGATACACCACATACATAGAAACCTAGACCAAAAAAATTTCATTCACAAAGACCAAAAGAAGAAGAAGAAAACAGAAAAAAAAAAAAAGATGAAAAAAAATCATTGACAATAACTAAAAAGAAATAATATTTTAGATTGGAGCACATAAAGATATCCAAATGCTATTGGCTCCAATTTTTATGAAATACCATCGTAATAACAAATTCTTACAAGCTTATTACTGGTTATGAGAGAATGGATATTACGGTTTTATCATTAATTCCACAAAATAATAAGAAATTTTGAATTTTGTATTTTATATAGTTTCAAAGAGAAATCGTTAATATCTCCGAATTTTTCTATTTTCCCTAAGAAACACTATCAGAAATATTGTAAAATAAAATCTCAGAGAGAAACACTAACTCGATTTCAAAGGAACACTTCAAATACTATAAATTGGCTTATTTCTTTTAAAAAATGGGGTTAATTTATACTGGGAAATCTGGAACAGCAAATCAAAATAAAAAGGTATAAATAATCAAAACTTATTTTTGTAGAATTGTAATTTGGAAGAGAAGTGTGATTTTAAAAGGAAAATCTCAAATATTATTATTTACACTCGGATTTGTGCCGATTTGAGAGAGAGATCAACTCAAATACCATACGAAAAAAATGGGTTGTCTGTACCTATAAATTATATTAGTTTTTAAAGAGAAGTGTGATTTTAAAAGAGAAATATAGTTAGCTCGTTTAAAATGTAACTTACATACTATATTAATGAAAAGAATAGTATAATTTTTTAGGTTTTTAGTCATTGAAGATCCTTCAAACATCATCTAATGAATATAGTTCGTTGGATATGTATAATTTCTTATGTATTTATAAATACAATCAAATAACTTGTGCAACATGTACCCCGGTTCTCTCTTTGTAATGTCAGTGTCTCTGTCTCTTTCTCTCCCTCTATGATTGGTCCGCACTGGTGGGCCTTGTCATTTGTCCCTATTACCACAACGTGTTGGTTTCTTTCTTTCAGTTTTGGATGGTCTCTCTCTAATATTTGACCTTTTAATATCATTTCAATTTGTATACGGAAAAATGAAAGCCCAATAACTCGAGAGGATAGGGTTTGGCCTTGACAGTAGTACCACTGAACTTTATGATGAAATTTCGAATTTTATTTTCAACAAAAAAAATAAAACCTCAAATCCTCTCTAACTTACATTTTTAAGAAAGGAGCTCGATCGTGGTGGTAGCACCTTCGTACCCTAATCACCATATTCGTTACCACCGTACCCTAGTCATCATAATCTGGGTTTTATTCCTACTGACATCACCAACTAACACCTTTAAAAAAACGACCTCCAAAAAAACCCCAAAAAGTCAAAAAAGTAAAAAACCCACGATTTCTTCGTGACTGATAAGGTGCGTAACACACAGCAAATTCATGGAGAGTTTTAATTTAAATTCTTAAACTAACTTCTCACAACCCAAAAGTTACCACTGGATTAGTGTTGAATAAAGAAAAGGGAAATGATGAAAAATATTATTTTTCTCAAAAATTTGAAAAATATCAAAAAAACTTTAAATTACACCCATATCTATTTTCCCACCGTTTACCTTTTTTTTTTTTTTTGGCCCAAAATGCCCATCACAGGCCTGTTAGGTCCGTGATGATCCTGGTACTGTGTCAACACATCTACAGTCATGGAGTATCAAATTGTGATAGTCCTTGACTGAAAAGTAGGAGTATCACGATTCTAATAGAATCGAGATAGTCCTGGACTGAATCGCGACATGGATATCTATACCAAACTCTTATTGTGCTTTTGGACTATCACGGACCAATTAGATCTGTGATGCTCCTGTGACCCAACTAGATGCCCCTCATCTAGGCACATAAGATCTCTCTCTAATAACACCTCAACTCTCACTCTCTTTCTCTGACCCCCAACACCTCTCTCTCACAGGTCAAAGCACCTCATAGGTGCTTCGTGGACTTCCGACGCAGGGGCACTTCGACCATTGCAGCCCTAATTGAACCGTGATGAATCAAATTTAGAGCCATGCTGTATTGGAGCATCACAGCTCTAAGCAACTCATGTATTGGCATGGTCCTTGATCATCGTGGACCTAATAGGTCCTTGAAAGATATTTTGAGAAAAAAATAAAAATAAAAAAAGAAGGGAAAATGAGTATGGTTGTATTTTATATAAAAAAATTGTACTTTTCAAAATTTTGAGATAAATAGGACATTTTTGATCATTTCCTTTAAAAAGTTCACGTTTGGAATAAGAGAATGAGAGCTAGTTTAGGGAATTTTTGTGAATATAATTTTTGAAAGGTGCGTTTGCATAGAGCCGAGGCTCTAAACAATCAAAGTAAGGCGCACTTTGAAATAGTATCGAGATATACGGTTTCAATACCGTAAATTTTTGTGATAGCCTTAAAATTTAGTTTCATATTTAATTATAAAATTTAAATCTTCAAAAATAGTGTAGATCGAGCAGATTTATGAAAACTTGAAAATTCACGGTAAACAAATGCATTACAAGATGCACTCTTACCAAAACTTGAAATCCATTTTTTACTCATGTCCATGCCTCTTGATGTCGAGATGATCGACTTGAAGATATTTGGGCATCAAAACAATATCTTCTAGTGAAATTTTTGAGGGGATCCAATTTAATTGTTTAGAGCCTCGGCTCTATATAAACTTCTTCATTTTTTTAAATATTTAAAAAATATTTATGGGTTTTTCACCCGTGTCTTTTTTTTTTACCTCCATTGAAGCCCAGCTCAAGTCAACAGTTGGAACGTGGACGACACTCTTGATTTGCCATGCGCACATGTGCTAATCAATGGGCATTTCGGAAAATATAAAAGAAATTGTTTTTTTAGCACAGTGTAAAATGTAAAAATTAGAAGATGTTTTTTAAATAAGTAAAATGGTTTGATAGGGCAATTAAATGTTGCGGTTGTGGAAAAAAAATAGGCTTGCAAGTTATGAAAATAGTATAGTGTATATTGCAACAAATCATCTAGACCATCCATTTCACCCTAAAAGTAACTGCTAACAAAGTTGCAAGATCAATACCAATTTTTTAGTTTCAAATTTTATTTTTAATGTTGGGAATTAATTTTAGAGCCATCATGAAGATTTCAAATTTTATTTTTAATGTTGGAAATTAATTTTAGAGCCATCACGAAGATTTATAATGCCCAAAGTATTTTCTTGATGAGGATTTGATGCGAGGCTTTATTTTGTTTTCATAAGACAAAATATGATATTTATGGCAAAATTTTCCTTTAATTTACTTAAATTTCCCGTACGACATCAATACATCACTAAGGTGTCCTACTCTTACACTGGTTTTTTAATGCGTTAGGTGAGAATGGAGAATGTTATCCGGAGCATAAGTGGTGCTACCACCATGACCCGAGCCCCATTCTCGATTAGAATGAGTTGTTAATATATAGCACAAGGTTTCTATGAATCCTAGGACTCATATGTAAACATGAGTCCACTCTTAAAAATCTATTTTCAACCAGGATTTAACTTTCCTTTAATTTGTCCCATGTCTGGGTAAAAAGGCTTGATTGTGTTATGTACGCAGTGTTAAAAACCCTGAACCACCTTGAATACTACAGAGAATTCTCTCTATCTGAATTAATTGTCAAGAATATACAAAGTCACGTATAAATATACGGCTAATGAGTAATTGATTATGACTAACTAATCTTGTCTTATCAAGATAGATATCTAATCAGTTATTAATAATGACTAACTAATCTAATCTTATCGAGAGAGATATCTAATACAAAATAAATTAAAATTAAAATTAAAACTATCATTAACTATCTCTATCTCTACGGACAGCCAACTTAAAATTTTGTCAAAGTTTATCATTAGCTGATCCCAATTAATTAGTAAAAAACTATAATGATAATGATATAGTCTCTAATGGAGCCGATTTCTATGCGGCCAAATACGTATATGTAGAAAAGCGAGCTTCTGAGGGATTTTAAGACTTAATTTTTAAGGACATGTAATCTCTAACAAGGAGATCATGAATATGAATAAATAAATAAATTTTAAAAATCATAAATAATAATTTTAATAAGAAAACATTTGCACAATTAGTTTCCATTGTTTTCAGATTGAATACCTACTTGCATCCATCTTTAAGATGGATGCTTTACACTTTTTGGACCGTATATATAGAAATGCAGTCCAGTCTATATGAAACAATTGGGAAAGGTTTCTATATTTCTTCTACAGCATAGAAGTTATATCCTCCCCATACCATCAAACTGTCCAATTTTGATCAAGAGAGCCACTTACCGTTTGATCTTAGATCAGACGTCTCAAAATATTTTATTTTTAGTTTTTTTTTATACGAATTGTATGAATATGAAATTTGGTATGTGATATCTTCTCATTGAGGCGCACTTATAAAAAATATTAAAAATATTTTTTCGATAAAATATAATGATCAAGATACCCCTTGAAACTTTCAAAAGCATTTTAGTCATTTTATTTTATTAAAAATATTTTCTTTTATATTTTTTACTAGTGCAAGTTTAATAGAGGAATGGATGCTCAAAATAGTTTATAAAAAAAAATTAAAAATAAAATAATATAAAAAATAGACATTACAATTGAAGTAATCTTAACCCTCCATTCAAAATGGAAAGTTGGATAAGGGGAGGATAGAACTTCTCTGCTCTAAGAGAAGCATAGAAAATCTAGTCCCACGTTTTTCATCGCTAACATGGAAATTATAAATAAATAAAAATAAATAAATTTTAAAAAGTAAGTATAATAATTTAATGAAAAAAATATGTAAATTGTCTTTCTCAAAGGGGACCACGATATGTATAGATCCTTTTTATTCATCGGGTGACGCAAATGTAGAAGTGCATGTACAATAGATGATCGTATTTGACTTGGAAAGAGTAAGAATAAGAAACGAGTCATTTCTGTTAAGATGAACTTGGGGAAACATTAAGTGTGAATTTTCCAGACTGTTTTTAGAGAGAGAAACATTACGTGTGAATTTACCATTGTTTTTACAGAGAGAAACACTAAGTTTTTAGATTTTAGTTTTTTACAGGTCGGGGGTACTTTCCCAATAATTAATATGATATTTTCCCCAAAATTTGTCGCCCCTTAGCAGTCTTCATGGTATTCTCTGCCATTGTTGATTTTGAAGAATTATTTGCCACCGTTTTATAACTTTTTAATGATTTCTTTGCAGTTTCCACTACACAACTCATAAAAATCCTCTCTCTCTCTCTCTCTCTCTCTTGCTGAATAATTTCCTCTCTCTATATCTCCCTCTCTCTCTCTTACTGTATAATTTCCTCTCTCACTCTCCTTAAAGTATGCCTTTATATGGGCTGCTCCATTGGTTATTCCTTGGATAGAGCCTGGTTTTTCTGTTGGGGCGCCCTTGTTTGTAGGGCCTAGAAAACCCATATTGGCATTTGCGGTACCCTGCAGTTCTAGAGAGAGAAACTGCACCTTGGGTCTAGAGAGAGAGGAATTGCATTGTTGGTGTTAGAGCGAGACGCTGCGTCTTGGGCCCTGTGGGTCTGGTCCCTGGTCACAAGATGCTGCCCTTTCAGAGCTTAGAAGATGCAGAAATGGCGATAGGGCGTCCTCTCTCTCATGCAGAGGTTTTGTGGTTTAACTACTCTGCAAAAATGTCTGATCCACTTCTCTATTTCCATAACATTCTCTTCCTCTTCTTGATCTTCACTCTGGTTCCTCTCCCTCTAGTTTTACTGGATCTCATGGGGTTCAAAGCTCTGGATAAGTATAAGCTTCAACCCAAGGTGAGGCTTACCTTTAATGGCATTTTGAAATGTTACAAGGATGTCGCGTTTATGTTCTTCACAGTTGTTGGGCCTCTGCAACTTTCTTCCTATCCTATTGTGAAGGTAAGTCTCTCTCTCTCTCTCTCTCT